CATGACTGGATTCCTGGATTCCTGGATTCCAGGAGGTTAAGGAGAGCAGAGTGCCCCAGGGAAGAGGGCTGATTCTCGGGTGTGTGCTGCTTAGCTAATTTGCTCCTTGTCTTCCTCGTCACAGGCTTACTGTTTAGCCCCAGATCGGGGTGGGTGGGGGGCCTGCAGTCTGCTGCGTGTCGTAGCTCCGACCTCACTCCCTGAGTCATGGTGGCCCCAGCCTGGCCCTTTGTCACCTTTTAGTTCATTCTGCCCTTGACCATACTCCGTGCTGGTCTCCCATGTGCCCAGCCTTGGGGAACCAGGTGCAGGCCTCGGGCCCTTGTTCCAGTAGCATGTCTTAGCACTGAGAGAAAGGAGGTAGATGGGAGCAGAGTCGGGGCTCCCCTGAGCCCTGCTTCCCTACTGTTTGCACGCTTGGGCACCTAGAAACCGGTCATTGCTGTATACAGAGCAGCTGGAGGCCAGTGTGGACATGTGGCCCAGGTCTGGCCAGGCAAACCCAAGAGCTGAGGGCCTCTGCCTGCCAATGGGGACCAATTTGTGACAGAACCACACTGTGGGAAAGTTCTTGCTCACCTGGTGATTCTCAGTCAGGGTCAGTTTGGGATGTCAGGGGCATCGTTTGAATGTGACAGTGCTGTATGTGCTTGTGCATGTGTGCACGCGCATGCTCTGTGCAGGGCTCTATGCCTGACGTGGAGTGGCAGGAGCCAGCGGTGCTAAATGCAGACCTGCCCAGTGAAAACAACATCTCTGTCCTGAGAAACGCAATGAGAGCCTCTACCCAGTGTTGATATTCTCCAAGGAAGGCCTCACAAATTGTTTTTCACTGTGGTAAAAGTCACATAATGTAGCAATTACTATCTCAACGGTTTCTAAGCGCCGTTCATAGCGTTCACTGGATCCACATTGTGAAACTGCTTTAGGACTTTCTTATCTTGCAAAACCCTAACTTGGTCCCCATTAATAGCATCTCCCACTCTGCCTGGCCTCTCCAGCCCCTGGCAACTGTAGTTGTATGTTTTCCCTCTGAGTTTGACTGCTTTAGACACCTTGCATGAGTGGAATTATACACTGTTTGTCCTTTTGTGACTGGTTTATTTCACTGAGCATAATGTTCATCTCTGCTGTAGCATGTCAGAATTTCTTTTTTAAGATTGAATTACATTCCTTGTACGGACATACCACGTTTCTCTTATCTCTTCATCCGTTGCTGGATATTTGGGTTGTTTCCACCTCATGGCTATGGTGAATAACTCTCAGTGAACAAGGGTGTGCCCATACTCTTTGATACAGTATTTGTATTTTTAATTTTTTGAGGAGGATGTTTTCCTTGGTGGCTGTCACATTTAACACTCCCATCAGCAGTACACAAGGGTTACAGTTTCTCCATGTCTTTGCCAACTTATTATTTTCTAATTTATTTGGGTAATAGCCACTGTAATGGGTGTGAGATGACACCTCATTGTTCTTTTGATTTGCCCTCATAATATGTGGTGTTGGCCATCTTTTCGTATGTTTGTTGGCCATAAAATTTTGATTTTTAAATATAGGAGCTCGCACTGGATTCCTTGGAGAGTCTTAGTAAGTTTGTGCCTTTTTCATTAATTTTTTGGTTTGGAGTTTGTGATATTTAAACATGAAACTACTCAAAGGAATATTTTCCTCTAACTGCTAAATCGTCATTTTAGATTGAATGAACCATAGCGTTGGTGGTAGACATGGGGAATGCTATTTTAAAGGGCAGAGTCTGCTTAAAGGAAACTTGATGACAAAGAATGGAGGTGTTGTGGATTTAAGATACATAAGATGTATGTAGGTAGTCTTCATTTAGTTTAATAGGACACGCAGAATAGAAGCAATCATCGCCATCATTTTTTTGTTTGTTATTCTTGATTCCTAAAACGTGCAGGGTAGGGCGGCTCAGGGAGTCGCAGCCTTGAATCTCTCCAAGGTTGCTGTGTGTTTCTCTGGCTGCAGAAAGCCTCGTGTCCAGCCATCTGCCCTGTTTCATCCACCTGTGCCCTGAAAGGCACCTGTTGGCTGAACTGGTCTTGCTATACTTCCTGTATCAGAATGTTCTAGTCCTTCTGAGGCTGTTTGGCTATGCCCCAAGTCTTTCAAAGATGAAACACTTATATCTGAAAGGAGAATTTGTGGGCCATCTATGTTTTAGCTCAAAATCTCCAAATGGAATCATTTTAAAATGCGTTTTCTCGAGAAATATGTAAATTAATAATCGCTTCATACATTATTCAAGGAAAACTTATTTTGTATCACCGATAGTTCTTGTAATTTTCTATAAAGATATGCTAATGGATTTAATTAAAGTAATTATACTGAATAATGTAACTTGAACTTTACCCTAAAATAGTGTCTGTTAATCACCATCAGTAGTAATAATTTTAGCCAGGGAGACACTTAAAACATTACACTGATACTGGATAGAAAATGCATTTTTTTGTTTTACAGTTTGGATGAAGTTGGCATTCTCATAAGATGCATGACAATTAAATCTGCTTAGAGAAGAGTATTAAATTTGTTTAATTTCTTGAACCTGAACTATTTGAGCAATTAAAACTTGTAGCTTTTTCTGCCATTTTATATTCCTTTTTATGCGTTTCATTTTTTCCCTCCAAAACTTTGTTCTCAATGAGTTTCTTGTCCATTTGATTCGGTTCTGGCCTCACTTCCTTCCTCAGAGTTGTCACCACATACCATGAGTTCTTCGTTGCTTGGATATTAAGCTACGAACCCTATTTTCAGACAGACACTTGGTAACTTGCCTGTCTTTTAAGAAAAAGAGAACCGTCTTTACTGCCAGCCATCATTCCCCTCATTTTGTTTCTGGTAACTTTCTGTGGTTTGCTGGTGTGCATTCGTGGCTCAGTGGCAGGGAGCCTGTTGTGTTTGGTGGTAAATTCCATCTTACCTAAAGCCTTCTTGTGGCTGAGTGGGCAGGGGCCTGTCGGTGTCACTGTGCACGTGGCAACTGCTCTGCGGCCCAAATGCATTTAGAATTGGACCTGGCCACCCTCAGGTGGACAGATGAAAGCTTCTCCATGTTCAAAAAGAGAGCAAGCTAGGATGTATAATGCCATTATGTAGATTTAGCTGGCTTTCAAGTCAAATCTGAAGAAATGACTCTCTTAGCAAATATTGATTTGATAAGATCAATTATGACTTAAAAAACAGAAGGTGAATAAACAATGCCAAAAACAGTGATTCCATCTAAATTCCTGTACTGTGCAGTTCTCTGTTCCTGCCCATGCCATCTGGTGCGGTCCCCGGGGTGTGTGGTCCACCCTGTAGCCCTGGGAGGGATGGAGGAAGTGATCCCCCCCTACTCAGCCCTCCCTCTAGGCACACCCCACAGGCCTCGGGCCCCGGCCCCCCTGCCACAACCCCATAGAGTCCATTCCTGACGTCTCTCTGTCTGCAGGGAACCTTGCTACAGCCTGGGAAGCGCTGTGGGACATGGGGCTGCTGACATGCTGGTGTCCTGGCCTCTCACCCACCATTCCAAAGAGCCTCTTGCATTCTGAGCAAGATTTTGTTTAAAGCACTGAATTATAAAAATCAATAAAAATAAGACAAAATCAGAACAAAAAATTAAGCCTTCAAGTGCTCTCCATTACTGCCGTCCTCACGGCCTCTGTTATTTGGTGATTCCGTCTACTCAGTATTTGCGACTATGTCAGACTTTATAAATGAAAGGACTCACTGAATGCAGAGTCCGGTTTGAGGGTTTTGCATATTACAGACTTTTTCTGTGTCAGCGTTTGCTCAGATCCTCACACTCTTCCGCCCCCACCCCCGGGGGTCTGCTCAGCACCCGCCATGTTTTCTGATTGCACTCTGCGCATGTTGCAGTCAGTGTCCTGCCCTCCTGCCAGCAGCCCGGGGATGCAGGCACTGTTCTTACCCACAGAACCACTGATGGGAAATGCCGTCTTCTGAGGTCACATAGCGAGGGGAGGAGGGGACCTTGGATGCAGACAGCCTGGCCCTGGAGCCTTGTGCCCCTGTCCCATCGGTAGCATTGCCTCCTGTGGGTCATGCTGGTGTAGGTCCTCTTAGTTCTGGGACCACGCAGGACTTAGCTTGGGGGTGTCTTTCTGCAGAGCAGCTTCCAGCCAGTGTTGTCCCTCCCCCTGCAGGAGTGCCCCACTGTATCTCTGCACTGCAGGAAGCTCTTGAAGCAGCTGCTACTCCACTTGACGGAGACATGACTTTAGTGAAGCAGCTTAACTCCACCGAGGAAATGACATCTTTTGCTGCAAGCATGAGCAGAAACCAAAACACTTGAGATTCTTGACGAATAACCAATCCTGGAAATGGGCAAAGCTTAGCTGCGGTCCTTACTGGCAGTGGCTGATGGAACGTGTCTTCAGGAAGAGGGGAGCCTGCGGCCAGGCACACAGCAGAGGGCCCTCTGCCTCTTCTGGCCCATCAAACTGGAGGGAGGCGGTTGCTTCTCTTAGCTGAGGATGGCAATTTCTGTGGGCTGAACACAAAGAGGTCAAGTGTCTTTGAGAATTAAGAGGTGGTTTTATATACAGCCCTGTCTGTCTGCAAGGCATGGCTCCACTGTGCCCAGGATCCTGTGCACAGCTCAAGAGAAAGCAGAGGGCAGGAGCAGGACTGGCTGCACCCCAAGGGCCCTAGTCTGGGGGATACAGACCTACTGACTCTTTGGTCACAGCCCCTCAGAGGAATATCTGCAGATACCTAACCCAGAATCCATGCCTCTTGAAGAAAATGCCGTCTCAGCTAAGGACAGGCTTCACAGGGTTAACTCAGTGTTTAGTGGCAGGGGCCAGGGTGGTGGGGGGGAGCGGTGGGCCAGGAGGAGGGGCCACATGCACAAACCCGTGGGCGGGCAGAGGGCCTGGTGCCTGAGGGAAACTGGCAGAGGCACCGGGTGGTAGGCGAGGCCTCTCAGGGGCCTGGGTAGCAGGGCCATGCTCCCGGAGAATCTCAGATTTGTGTCTTAGGGAAGCTGCTCTGGTTGCTGAGCCACGGCGGGAGGTGAACTTGGAGGGCGTGGCAGTGACGATGGAGGAGAGAAGGCGGCCCGATGAGGTCCTAGAAACTGTAGAAATGGAGAAGGTGGGAGAACCTGTGGGTGTTTAATCGTGAGCCTCCCCCATGCTTTGTGGCTGGTCAGAGTGGGTTGGGGGAAGAGGAGGCCTCCGACGTGAGGCTGTGCCCTGAGCCGAGGGGCGCAGGGAGGGAGGGTGGCCGTCTCATCTGCGGGACAGCTGCGAACGGCACGCGGTGGCCGCCAGAGGTGGGTGTGAAGTTCAGGAGAAAGGTGAGCCTGGGGGACAGCCTGGGAGTCCGGAGCTGGCAGAAGGCCAGGTCCATACCGGGGTCTGTGGTGGAAGGACAGATGTCTAGAATGTGACTCCCGGGACACCCACCTTTTAGGGAGTGGTGGGTGCCCAGGGAGGCAGTGGCCCTGGGCACGAGAGCAGCAGTGCCATGGGGATGGTCAGCACGGAAGAGGCCTGAAGTCACTGTGGCCTTGGCAAGAGTGGAGACATGTTGGGTATGGAAGCCAGGCCGCAGTGTGCAGACGAGGGAGTGTGCTGGGCGGCGTGGGAGGTGCCCCAGCCCGGGCACTGGACTGTGCAGGATGGGGCTGGGCTGGGGCTTTGAGGTGGGTCGAGGGGAGAGACTGGCGTGGGCTCAGATGTGGCAGAGGGCCGCCAGCAGGGTGAGGCCTGAGCTGCCTGGAGAGAGAGCAGGGATGGAGAGGGCAGAAGGCCTTGGGGACCAGGGTGCGTGCAGGCCCCTGCCTGTGGGTGTCACTGTGACACCGGGGAGGAAGAGCCTGTGGTGGCGCTGGCCTGCACCCACCCTGCCTGGTTAGGATAGCGCCTGGCAACCCTAGGGCAGTGGGTGGAAGGTGGGCTGCGAAGGCGTCGTGTTCATTGCTGTCCACTTCGTCCCTGTGAGGTGGAATTTATTAGGCTGCCGCAGGCACATGCCAGTGAGCGGGGCACAGGGTGCGGGTCAGAGCTGGTGTGCGCCTCACCCTCGGGACCATCACACACTAAAGGAGACGCTTCAGGGCCCCAGTGGTCAGCCTGTGCAAATGCTTGTTAGCAAATGTCACGACAAATATTTTTTAGTTTTTCAAAGTGACTCCGAGGTAGTTGAAGCAGAAATTTTGAAAGCAAAATGGAACTGTTTCTGTATAATGGTCTTTTCCAAAGTTGTGCCGCAAAGCAGACATCTGGAGTCCCTTATCTGGCACGCATTGATGGATAGGCGAGAAAGAAGAGTCGCTAATTCTGCCGAGCAGGGCGCTCTGCCTTCCTCTGCTTCATGGTCTTGACTGTGAGGCCCTGAACTTTGTGGTGACGCATGTGGTCAGTTTCACTGTCACCTTGGAAGTAGAGACACAAATCCGAGCAGCCTGAATCTGGACAAATGACTTGATTCTGTGCCTCCACTTTCACATCTGCGCAAGGATCTGATGATCAGCCTCTCCCGTGGTTGTCCTGAGGACTCTGTGTTCAATAGAGTCAAAGACCTAGAAAAATGTCCTGCATGTACAGAATATTCATGCCAGTCATTTGCGTTTCCCTGGTGACTAATGATGCTGAGAATCTTTTCAAGTGCAGACTAAGAAACTTGAACTCATTGAGAAAAGACCTGAATCTGATTACTTAACTCTTAGGCACCACAGTTGAAGGTTCAGGACCAGCGTTCTCCCTGGCATTTTCCATGCCTGTTTATCTAGGTAATATATCTACTTGTAGTTTGCATGCAGTCCTATAGTAAAGTTCCACCCACCCCGTACATTCCTCTACCCCCAGTGTAGACAAGCCCTCCCCTTGACAACCACCAAGGTGTTTTCTATCCCTAAAGCTTTATCTTTTCCAGAATGTTCTAAAATGGAATCATGCAGTAAGTAGCCTTTTGAATTTGTTTACTTGTCACGGTGCATTTGAGATTCAATCACATGTGTAACAGGCGTGACTTGTTTGGTGTTTTAGATTATTACTGAGTAGTGTTCCATTGTATGGATTCACAATTGGGAGACATTTGAGTTGTTTCTAGTTTTGACGATCACAGATAAGGCTGCTATGAAATTCTCATACAGAATTTCCTGTAAGTTTCCATTTCACTTGGCTCATGGCTTAGGAGTGGTGCCATTCCCTGGCCACATGCACAGTGCATGCCTGACTCTACAAGAAGCTTCAAAGTCGCTCAAGTTGCTTTGTATTCAGACCAGCAAATGCAATTGGCCTGGTATTGTCAGGTTGTTTTTGTCTTTTGGTTTTTTTTTTGTTTTTTTTTTTTTAAGCAATTCTAATAGATGTTGTGTTATCTCATTGTGGATTTAATTTGCGTTTCCCTGGTGACTAAGATGCTGAGAATCTTTTCAAGTGCTTATTTGCCATCCATGTATCTTTTTTGGAAAATTGTCTCTTCAGAGTTTGGCCTAAATTTGTGGGAAGACTGTTTTCTTACTATTGAGTTGCAGGAGTTCTTTGTATATGCTGGATACAAGTCTTGATCAGATACATGATTTGAGGCTGTTTTCTCTTAGTGTGTGGTTCATCTTTTGTTGTCATACAGTGCCTTTTAAAGAGCAGAAGTTTGTATTTTGATCAAGTACAATTTATCAACTTTTTTCTTTTATAGATTGTGCATTTGGTGTTATAGCTAAGAAAGGTTTGCTTAGCCCCAAATCACAGGTATCTTATAGAAGTTTGATAGTTCTAAGTTTTAAATTTAAGATCCATGATCCATTTAAAGGTACTTTTTGTACAGGGTGTGAGGAGGTATTGAATGAATTTCGTTTGGTGGCGGAGTGTGAGGGGTCTGTGTTCCTCTCCTGTCAGTCAGTTGACCATATATATTCAGGGTATTATATTTAAGTGGGCTTGTGCTGTTAAGAGCAAAATTCAACTGAGTGAATTTAAAGATCTAATTGGCTTATTCAACGATTCATGAATTGGGCAGCACCCCTTGTAACATGTAGAAAGGAGCTCCTGGGAGCTGTACTACATGGAAGCCTTGTATAGGCAGAAGAGAGGTGGACGAGGAAAGTGGGCCAACTCATCTTCCTTTGGGGGACGGAAGGGTCTGTCAGGCCGATTTCCTCCTGTTGTTGGCCAGGAAGTTCCAGATGAACATTCCACTACTGGGAGAGGTTGGTTCGCTAGACTTGGAGCTAGCAGAAGTGACTCGAGTTTTGGCCTGCTATTTCTTCTTTTTATAGTGCCTGTTTGCTTTTGGGACACAATGCTAATAATCATTATGTAATATGTGTGGTATTTTCCAATGTTTAAAGTGTTACCCTGTTCTCCTTTCGATTTGGTTCTAGCTTTAGTGCAACCCCTGGATGTATTTGGCGTGAGTGTTGTCTTCCCAATCCATTTTGCCGGGGGTAGAGCCCAGCCTGGTACAAGGAGTGACATAGAGTCACAGGCACATGGGGACGGGCCATGCTCAGAACACTTAAAATCCAAGAGTTTTCCCTAACAGGGTGTAAGTGAAGAGGCTGAGGCTCTGGCTTCCCACTGAGCTGAATTTTAATTCCACCTCAGTTCAAGACTAGCTGTGTGATCCGGGGCAAAGTAATTAACATCTCCATTGTCAGGTCCTTGCCTGGGAGCACAGCCAAGCCCCTGTAGGAGATCTTTTGGAATTAAAGATAAAATATACAAGGGTCCTAGCATAGCACATAGCATGTATTGAGTCTATCTTTATTACTATCACCCTATTTTTCAAGAGTGGGGGTTTTCTGGAAGATGCATACTATGAATACAAGAGATAAAGTTCCTAGAGAAAAAATGATTCCTAATTAAGGGATACACGGATACACAGAAAACAGGTTTGGAATGGAACAAAGACAACCATTTTAACTGTTGGATGTGACGGAGATGTAGTGATTTGAATGGTAAAGGGGTCTGCCGAGGGCACAGTTCTTCATTTACTGTGGTTTCATTCTGGTTAAGGAGAAAATCACATGAAAGCTGAACGCAGTATAGGTGTTACGTTAGCAGGAAATGTTGGCTTCTGTTAATATTACTGTTATTAATGTGTCAGGGTAACTGTGTAACAAATGACCATCGTTTATGGACTGGAGGTTATTTTCTTTGTCTTGTATTCATTGTGTTTAGACATCAGCCCCTCACATAGAAAGCGATCTTTCTCTTGGTATGTCTGTGGTTCTTCAAGGTAATTCTTAATTTGTATTAACCTTTGCCAAACTGCATTAGCCTCAATGTTATCCTTTGCTCTTGGTTTGCAGGGGGCGGCACTGAAGTACTTGCCAACGATTGTCAACGATGTGAAACTGGTGTTTGATCCCAAGGAGCTCAGGTAAGGAAGCACCTAAGGGGAAGGTGGCCCCCATGCCTCGCTTGGCCTACATTCCAGTGCGTTTCGTTTCTGGGAGACTTGGGGTTCTGTCTCACGTTGGCAGAGGTCAGAGTGCCCTGGATCATTCTGGAACACATGCTAATGGGGGTGTCCATGACACTTCGCTAATTGTGACTTTCTGTGGAAAAGACATCATCTGTCAAAGTCACAATCTCTACCAGATTGTTTCTAGCCCAATGGGTATGCAATACAAGTTTGGGATTTAGCATTCTTTAGGGTTTGCATGTCAATATACAGTCTTGGGGTTTGGAATTTTGTTTTGTTTTGACACAGTAGTTGCACTGTTTGCAGCACTTCTCTTCCTCACAGCGCAGGTGACTTCTCTGCAGGAGCTCCTGACTGAGGTGTGGGCCTCAGGCGGAGTGGTCAGAAGCTGTCGTTAGGATAATACTCAAAGAAGCCACATCCCAGGGAAGCTTTCAGACTGAGGACTGAGGCTGAAACCTAATGCTTCCTTTTTCTACTTGAGTTTCCCAACCCCACCGTCCATGCCCCACCTCTGGGTGCGATCTGCAGGTGTCCCCAAGGGCTGAGAAGAGCCTTTGGGAGCAGGTGGGGTGTAGCCTTTTAAAGGCCCGGCGCCTGCAGCTTCTCTGCTGCTCGTTCTGGTTTTGATTTAACTTTTGACACAGTAAACTACCTGCAGGTGATGGCACCATTTTTAGCCACCAGAAAAGCTCACCTAAATATTAGTAAAGGGCCTTCTGTCCCTCGGGCTGTTAAGCTGAATAAAAAATGTTCATCCTTCCTGTACTATAGGTCACTCGTGCCCTGGAAGTGACAGGCCAGGGCCTTTCGGGAGGGTCTCCCCCTCGCGACTCATCATGTCTCTGATGTGCCTGAGGATTCATGTCCTGCTGGGACACATTTATTTTCCACTTCCAGGCGCTGGTAATGCCTCTACAGCTTCACAGGCCCTAAACAAGAAGAGGGGGAGAGGAGAAGCCAGCGGGCCCAGAGGCAGCATGGCAGCTCTCCTGGGCTCTGCAGGCCCTGTCCTGCAGCAGGGATGGTCCTCGGAACTGCAGTGGCGACAGTCCTGGGAACTTGTTAGAAAATGCTGCATCTTGGGTTCCTCCCCAGATCTTCTGAATTAGAAATGGAGGGTGGTGCCCAGCTCTTTGGCTGTAGCGAACTCTCCAGGGGCCTCCAGTAACATTTGAGAGCCTCAAGTGTGGGGAAGCAGAGGCACAGGGCAGCTGTGGTCGGGTGGGTCATGGCCATACTCTGGGCAAGGGGATCAGGTCCTCACCCATTAGAGCGGCAGCACCCACTTTCAGAGTTGGTGGTCACACCCTGTGCCTGCAGATGCACGGCAGACCCCCTTTCCCAGGGCTGATCCAGTCTGCTCTCCGTCCCATGGCTTCTTATGCTTGCATGTGCGCATCTTCAACGCTGTGTCTACTGATTAAAAAAGAAAAGACACTGAAAATCATGTATGCATTTTTCCATTTAGTTAACTGATTCATGTTTTGGTGAATCAGAAGGGATCATGGGGGAGGGTAGCTCAAACTTAATCCACTATCCAAAAATAACTAGAAGGATCTGGATCCTTCTAGTTGTCTTGTGCACACACATTCACACTCACACATACCCCTAAAATATTCAACAACATTGACTTCCTTATTTCGCAGCATGTCTGTCTGTACGTAAGACATTTTGTTTTCCCATGGCAGGAGGTAGTCTTCTGTATCATAATTTTGAATAACTTCATGGTGTTCCAGCCCATCATTTGTTCTAGTAGCCACAATGGACACTGATATCAGTTTGGTGATTTCTTCACACAAATAGGCTTTAGCTCTTTCCTTGTATTATTCAGTTAATCTTTACAACAATGGTAAGACATAGGTCCTATTACGAGCCCACTTTTATGCTAAGTAACTTGTCCGTGATAACTTAGCTGGTGAGTATGAGTGCTTCGAGGCCAGCCCTGGGCTTTTTGATCACAGAAAATAAGTCGTGTGCTACACTGATAGGTGCTACGTTGTGTTCAGCTTTTTATTATTAATAAAGCATACTAGGATAAAGTTTTCTGTCGCTCAATTGTAGTATGTTGTCCTTAAAATATCATTAGGATAAACAGAGAAGTGGAATTACTAAATCTTACATTTTCTTAAAGGATTTTAAATAGATTTTACCCAGTTGCCCTCCAAAGGTCAAACCAACCCAACCTTCCTTCTAAACTAGTGTATATTGGTGTCTGTCTTCTCAAACTTTGCCAATACTTGATATTATTATTTTATAGACCAATATGATAGATGGAAATCCATCCATCATTTATTATTATTTATTGCCAATATGATGGATAGAAAAGCATCACACTTTCAATTTGCATTTCTTGGTTACTAACAAGTGCTCTCCTAAGACTCCTTTATAGGTCTACCGGCCATGTGTAAAAGTAAATTTTTAAAAAACATTTCTAGTGTGACACAATTTATGTCCTATAAAGTTCACCAGTTTTAGAGTGTTCAATTACATGGGTTTCAGAATTTTAATGAGTTGTGGGACCATGCCCCAAATACAGTCTTTGGACAGTTTCATCACCCCAGGGATCCCTTCTGCCCATAAACAGTCACTTCCTGTTCTCCGGGTTCTCCCCAGCCCCAAGCAACCACTGATCTATGCCACAGATGAGCCTTTTCTGGGCATTAGATATGAATGGAATCATACAATATGTGACCTTTTGTGACTGG